TTCTGAAGAAGGGTCTAGGTCCGAAACGTCAGCCTTCCTGCTCCTCTGATGCTGCTTGGCTTGCTGTGTTCATCCAGCTCTACACCTTGTTATCCCAGATTCTCCAGCATCTGCAGTTCCTACAATCTCTTATATTTCATGACTGAGTCTCTTGGAGATTTTGACCTTTTCAGGCATCCCAATTCTAGTCAGTCCAGCTTTGGCAGCTTTTCCCTTAGCTGCTGGAATTCTTTCCCTAAAACTCTCCATCTCTTTGCTCTGCCTTTGAGATGTTCCTTAAAGCCACTTTGATCAGTCTTTCAGTCATCTATCTTAGTATTTCATTATGTTGCTTGGTGTCAAGTTTTGTTTAATGTTGCAGTGATATTCAACTTTGTTAAAAATGATGGACAAGAGTGTGTTGTCATTAAATCATTGGAACCTATTTTCAATGCTTCGAGTTGCTTTAACACTGCTTTGTGAATTAATATGTAACTTAACTAAATAACATGGAAAATGCAATGTTAAGGAAGTCTGCATTCTGTCTTGGTAATGTCTTTCAAAACATTAAATATACTTCAGGATACCCAGTGAGTGTAGAAAAATGTCACATCTCAGTGAACGCCTTTAAAAAAGTCAGTGTCTCAATAATTCACTTGTCTAATGATTATCTATTAATTTGAATCTATTACATTCAAAAGATGAGGTAAGCCATGCACATGGTAGATAATTTTACATTTCATCATTAATCCAGCATTCAAATCCTGGATAATCTGAATTTAACCTGATAGGGTTAGATTTCTTGTAAAATGAAAGCATTGATTCTGTTTGAAAATTGAATCTGGAGTGAGCAAAATCAAGCCAAAATTATTGGAGCTAGGCCATATTCCTCTTAAGTAGTTTTCTGAAATTTATTCTAATCAGCAATTCTAACTGTTGTCTTAATGGTGATAGAATTTGTTTGGCTTGAAATGAGCAGTTTAACTGAGCTTCAAATGACTTGCGGTGATATGTTCTTTCATTTCCCAGAATTAAAGAAAACAAATGTTATATATAAGCTGTGCATGCAGTCATAAATATCGAAAAATTAACTTAATTAAGTATTTTATCTCTTAGTACCTGATTTGCGTCTCACCAGAGCAATAACCTATATTGACAATTATTTAAATATTAACTTTTTAACCGACTGAGGTTTGTTCTCTAATATTCACCAGCTTTTTGCTGTGTTTGACACACACAATCCCTGAATGCTTCCCATAGGAATGAAAGAACTTAAATTCAAAAAAACAGTCAAATTAAAGAGTTGATTGTCTTTTTCAGACAAACAGTTCAATTCCATTTCTTTCAATTTTTAGAAACCAGATATTGGGTATCCTTATAACCTATCAAGATAAGTTAGCATTATAAAATGTGTATATCAGGTGGTTTCACAAATTATTTTATAATATATAGTGAATGTTGTGTCCAAGATGAGGGATGACCATGCTGGGGAATAGAATTGTTTTTGTATCCAGAATTGTCAGTTTACATTTGGCACAAATTTCATACCTTCTCCCTTTCGCCAGTGAGCCTCCTTGCACCCGCTTATGTTTTCTTCTTTTTCTCGCATCTGCTACATGACTAAATTGATGTCCTCATGTAAATTAAGAGTAATCTTGTATATTAGGTCTGGATCCCTTAAGGGTTGGATTGAGATATGCCGAAGTGAATGCTTCAGTCTTTGAAACCATTAGAAAGACCTTTCAAATTGGTCCAGTTCCATTAGATGCTTGCATGTTCATCCATCATCTGCTGTTGTGACTGTATTCTGGTAGAGTAAATTGATCTAGTAAGAATAATTTGCTTATATTGTACACTAGAGCACGGAGAATGAGATCTCCAGTTTGATAGAGAAAGATCAGAAGCTGCAGGTAGTGGCCGATTCTCCCAACTCAAAGAACAGTATTCATGAAGAACATCAGTTAGGAAACTCCCAAGCATTGAGTCCAGAGCACAAAGTACACGTCTTGCACATGATGCCCTCAACCTCCGCACCAAGGGTCGAAGTGATTCGATTTACTCCCCAGCATCTTCCCAGCACAGAGCAGAAAGTGATAATTGAGCAGGTTCCATTTTTCTCCATGTTACCAGCCAGCCCTGAGCAACGAGTCAAGGTCCAGCGAGTCCCTCAGGCACTAGTTTTTGGAACAGGACCAACTGCTCTTAAAGTAGGTCAAATAAGAAGTAATAATAAGGATGAACAGAAGGCTGAATTGTTCAAGTTCCTTAAAGATGTTTGCTGTTGAAAGTTGTGTTGATTTTGTTTGTCTTTAAAATATTGTGCTTTAGTAATGTGCATTGTTTATTTTTGTTGAGATAATTAATATTCCTGCATTACATTTTATATATTTTAGGAACAAGCAGCATTGATTTTAAAACTTTACTACGCAAAGAACCCCTGAAAGTATTTGCATATTGTCCAGGTTCCCTGCTCACAAGATTTTGAAAATTGTGACAGCAGCCCATATGAAAAGCTACTGCCTTGTCTTAAGCATATTTTTGTTCTTGTAAGAAAGAAGTAATGTGTTAGCCAATAAATTCTTAACCCTATGGAAATGTACCGTATGTCTGACCACAGACAGAACAAGGTCTGATGGCCTAATGGAAACTAAGGCTTCATTGATCCCCCTTTGAAAGTGTCTAGTGCACAATTTATAGGTATTTGTTATTTAAGGATATTCCTCCATTAAATGAATTCTTGAAAATTTACAGCAGTTTAGAAAGTAGGTATTCAAATGGGTGAAACCTGATCCTGAAATGCTGGGTGGACAATCCATCTCGGCTTCCTCCTGTGGTGCCCAACATCACAGATGTCAGAATTCATCCAATTCGATTCATTCTATATGATAACAAGTCTGCAGGCCTTGGATACTGTAAAGTCTATGGCCCCTGAGAACATTATGAAAATGCTGAACTGGCCGCATGCCTAGCCAATGTAGAAAATTGCCAACAAAAATCAGAACAAACCCAACCTGGCCAGTTACTGCCCTGATAGTTTACTCTCAAATATCACATGGGAAACTGATAGATAGGTAAAAATTCACGGGATCCAGATTAACTTGGAAACTTGGATCCAGAATTGGTTTAGTGACAGAAGACAGAGGGTGGTGTTTGAAGGCTTTTTGTGTGACTGGAGCCCAATGTGTACTGGTATACCACAGTGATCAGTGCTGGGTTCCTTATTGTTTGTGATATTCATAAATTATGCAGATGATAATGTGAGGTGGATAATAAGTAAGGTTGGCTGGGTGGTTGACAGTGTTGAAGAAGGTTACAGAAGGATATAAACAGATTGGTCAGATTGGCAGATCAGAGGCAGATGGCATTTAACCCTGATAAATGTGAGCAGATGCTCCTTGCTGTTTGTGGTATATATAAACAATTTATACTTGAATATAGGAGAGTTGATCAGTAAGTTTGAGGATGATGCAAAAATTGGTGTGGTAGTATATAGTGAAAAGGATAGCCTTAGTTTACAGGAGGATATAGACCATCCGATCGGATGGACAGATCAGTGGCAAATGGAATTCAATCCAGATGAGTGTGAGATGATATACTTGGGCAGGACAAACAAGGCAAGGGAATATGTGATGAATGAGAGGACCATGGGAAGCACCAAGGATCAGAGAGACCTTGGTCCACTGGTCCCTTAAAGTAGCAAGATAGGTAGATAAAGTGGTTAAGAAGCTAATGGGATACCTGCCTTTATTAATTGAGGTATAGAGTTTACGAGCAGGAAGGTTATGTTGCAACTGTGTAAAATGGTGATTAGGCCACAGCTAGAGTATTATATACCATTTTGGAACCCACATTATAGCGAGGGAATGCGATAGCACTGGAGAGAGTGCAGAGGAGATTCACCCCTTGGGTCTGCACCACCATTCAATAGGATGGTGACTCACCTGACATTCCTCACATCCGCTTTCCTGCATTTTCCCTGTAACTCATGATTCCTCTACTAATGAGAATCTATCCATTTCAGCCTTAAATATACGCAAGGTTTCTGCCCCCACAGGTCTCTGTGGCAAAGAGTTCCAAAGACTCTCAATCCTCTGAGAGAGGAAGTTCCCCTTCATCTCAGTCATAAGTTGGCACCCCTTTATTCTGAGACTATGCCCTCTGGTCGTAGACTCTCTGATGAGGGAAACATCCTGTCAGCATTTACTCTGCCAAGCATCTTAAGAATCCTATATATTTCAATTAGATTTCCTCTCATTCTTCCTAACTCCAGTGAGTAGAATCCAAAACTGTTTAATCTTTGCACATATGACAGTTCCTTCAATCTGGAGATCATCCTAGCGAAACTCCTCTGAACTGCCTCCAATAAAATAATATCAGGGTTAGTACAGTTGCAGGAAGACTACCCTACTGTAATAATCCAACCTGCTTGTAATTTAATTGACCTTCCTGATTACCAGCTGCACTTGTGTGCTAGCTTACTGTGTTTCATGCACAAGCACCTCCCAGTCCCTTTGTGTTGCAGCTTTCTGCAGGTTTTCTCCATTTCAATAATGCTCTTCTTTTGTCCTCCCTTCCAAAATGAACAACTTCATATTTTCCCACATTATACTTCATTTGCCAACTTTTTGTTACTTACTTGACATATTGATAGCTCTCTGTAAACTGTTTCTATCCCCATTACAACTTGTCTCTCCACCTATTTTTGTGTTGCCTGCAAATTTGGTTATAGGTGCATTTTTTTCCTTCCTCTAAGTCATTCATATATATTGTAAACAGTTGTAGTCTCACCTCTGATTCCTGTGGAACCCAGCTGATTACAAGTTGCCAATCTGAAAAAGAAGCCCTTCTGCCCACTCACTGTTTTCTGCCTATTAGCCAATTCTCTGTCCACGCCAGTATACTACCTCCAACATGATGGGCTCATTTCTTATGACTTAATCTTTTGTGAGGTACCTTACCTTCTCGAAGTCCAAATGCGACACATCTACAAATTCCCCTTTATCTACTCTGGTTGAGACTTGTTCAAAAACTTCTAATAAATTAGTCAGACACAATTTCCCTTTTGTGAAGCCATGCTGAGTCTGCTTGAGTAGATTATGGACAACATTTCGGCTTGGTCTGATAAGTGGAAAGTAAGATTTAGGTTGCACAAGCACCAGGCAATGACCATCTCCAACAAGATAGAATTCAATCATCGCCCTTGACATTCAAGGACATTACTATCACTGAGTTCCCAATTATCAACATCCTGGAGGTCTCCATTGATTAATAACTGAAGTAGGCCAGAAATATAAATACTGTGGCTATAAGGGCAGATTAGTAGCTGGGTATTCTGTGGCAAGTAATTCACCACCTGACTCCCAAAGCATGTCTACAGTCTACAATGCATAATTTAGGAGTATGGTGGAATACTGTCCACTTGCCTGGATGAGTTCAACTCCAGCAGCACTCAAAAAAGGTCAACACTATCCAGAACAAAGCCATCCATTTGATTGGTACCCCATCTGACACCTTCAACATTCAGTCCCTCCCCCATCAACCTATAGTGGCAAATAGATAGAGTATCATCTTTAAGAAGCATTGCAACAACTCACCCAAGGCTTTTTAGATAGCACCATACAAATCTGTGACCTTTACTCTAAAAGGGCAAAGGCAGCAATTACATGGAAACTGCTAACTACATGTTCCCTTTGAAGCCTCACCCTAACAACTGTAATGCTGTTCCTTTCACTGTCACTGCGTCAAATTTCTGGAACTCCCTCCCTAATAACACTGTGGGTATAGCTACACCACATGGACTGCAGTTGTTCAAGAAGGGAGTTCACCACCACTTTCCTAAGGGCAATTAAGGATGAGCAATAAATAGGCCGCAAACCAAATTAATATTTTTAAAACTCACATTTTTTATGGATCAATTTATTATAACTGCCACATTTGAATTTTTAAAAATCGTTTCATGTTAATAAATTGGAATTGTTCACATGTCATCATATAGTCAGAAAATTATGGCTCAATTTTTGATATACATTTAAGTTGAGCTCCAAAGTTTGTGTCTCAGCATAGTTGCATTATTACAATTTTTAATATTTTAAAATAGCATATATTAATGCAAAACTCATAATCTGTTGAATTTTTCTTCAAGTGTCCCAATCCCAGTGGTGCTGCTGGTACTGGTGAGCTGTTATCCTCTGGCTTCTCAGGGGTAGTATACTTGCCCCATACCAGACTTCCCATGGGAAAATTCCACTCTCAAAAACCTGGAGACCCAATAGCAGGAAGGCAAGTGCCTGATCAGGATTTAGTCCTGTCAGTCTTCCCAGAATGGTCATGGTAATGTTGTCACCATCTACAGTGGCTGCTGAATAGTGATCATAAAAGGAAATGAAAGCCCATCTTAGTTTGGGTGGCCCAATGCTGGCACCATTTACATTTTAACACACTGATTTGTGGAAGCAGTATTGCTATTATGGTATTTGATGCCTTGCAAGCTTCAAATATTATCAAAACATTTCAAATGGTTCCTCCCACCAGCACCATGATACACAAAGGTTAAGAAGTTAGGGCCATTATTAAGGAAGATAATCTAACATTTTCACTTCAAAACAAATGTTTTGATGTCTTGGTTTGTTAGTTAATAAATAGTATCTCCTAATTAACTTTTCCTTCCTGATGACCTCCATATTAGGTTCAGCAGTTACAACAGGTCCCAGTGCAGCCGGTTCAGCATGTCTACTCGAACCAAGTGCAGTATGTAGAAGGGGGTGATGCCAGCTATACAGGAAGCACAATGTGAGTAGAAAGAAAGCATGTAAGAATACTTCAATAACTGGTCAAGGAATGTGCAAGTTAATGGAATTTATGTTATTTTTAAGGGTGCAAATTTGTATAATTACAATGTATGAGCACGTAAAGAGAACAGCATAGAACCAGAGGGCCAATAATGGGTAATTCTTAATCCATGCAAGTGAACATAATATGGATCATTATCCTGTCACAGCACAAAAACTGCACCTGTACAATTGTGGCGTCATCACAGCGTGGTCAAATTTCTTGAAGGGAGGGAAAGAAACATCATGTTAGCAGAAAAAGAAAAATGTCACCCAAGATGACTACTATTAAGAACCAGTTATCCGTCAAAAATAGGTTTCTGCATACTAGAGGTGAACGGTTCAGGGTTTGAACAAACAAAAAAATAAACTTTTGTGGTTATAAATTGCGTTTATAAAAAGCCGTTTAACTTTCATGAGTGAAGACAACAACAAAAACCACAAATGAGATGGAGACAGGAAGGACTGCAGATGCTGGAAGCTAGAGTTAGTAACTGTGGAGCTGAAAGAGCACAGCGGTCAGACAGCATCCGAGGAGCAGGAAAGCCAACGTTTCAGGCCAAAACCGTCCCGCAGGATGGCCCTGATGAAGGGTTTCAGCTCAAAGCATTGACTTTCCTGCTCCTTGGATGCTTTTGTACCAGCTGTGCTTTTCCAGCTCTACATTTATTGACTCACCAAAAATGTAGATGTCAGGTGCTGATTTCAGTAACTGTGGTTATATTTTGTAACAAGCAGAATGAATTCTTTTTAAAGTAACTTACAGTTTGAAATTCAATACCATTGATGAAGCAAAATAATTTAGTTTTCACCACCATGTGATGATCTAATTCTGGCCGATTGCATATTCCTAATTTTAATTGCTCCAACATTGTTTGCTGTGCTTTCAGCTGTTTGGAACTTAAGCTGTGAAATTCCCTCCCTGGATCTACCCCCGCTCCCTACTTTTCCACCTGGAAGATGCTCCTTAAAATTTCCCTGTTTAACCAAGCTTGAATTATCTGGCCTATTATCTGTTGCTGTGGCTTGATGTTGATTATTTTTAAATTGGTTTGCTTGTTTAAAAGCTTGGGACATTGATATATAAAGGTACTATATGAATTCAGGTCATTGTTGTGAGATATTTGTACATTTCTAAATGTTTAATCTGAATCTGTTTTAAAGATTTGATTTTCACAATTGTAGGCTCCTATATTTTGCTGCTCAAACATCATAAATCTTAATGGTGAATTTACATTACGATATATGTTCTGACCAAATAGCAAACTTTCTTTAAGCAAGTTTTAAAATTAATATTTGCATTGATCACTGAAACAAAGACTGTATTCCAACCATCTGTCTCAGGTTAACAATCATTAATGCTCGTTTGGTATTTAAATTTATGAAGTTATCAAGTTATATTGGTTTTTAAAATACATTTTCCTTTCTTCCTTTGCTTTTATTACTTCTTGCTTCTAAAACAGTTTATGTAGTAAATTAACACATCATTCAGGGCATTCAAAACTTGCCATATTCAAAAATTATATGAAATGTTGTAATAAATGGTGTAACTGAGCACTTTTTGAAACTGCAAAGACAATTCATGTACCTGATGCACGCATTTTATATTTTCTTTACCATAGTAAGTGCCTACTGTATTTTAGAGGAAAGTGAAGATCTATGGAGCAAATTTATTAGAACTGCATGCCTGCTGGGCAACCAAAATAAGACATTTAATGTAGAGTCTTTAATATGGTTTATTTATCTTTTATATCCACTATTGTTTTGTAATACTGCACTTCTAAATATAAGTAGGCAAACTGTCACTGAAGTCATCTTTGTGGAACCGCTGCCGTTCTTTCTCATTTCAGACGTTCAAACACCTACCCTTACTCAGAAACTCAGCTGTACAACCAGAACACAAGCGGGAGTTACTATGAATCTCAGGGGACACCAAACCAGGTTGCTACGCCGGTGACTTCGCAGAACGTGGTCAGTAGTGGAACGGTGCCAATGTATGTCACGGGAGGGCAGATTGTGGCCAACCCAGGAGGAGGGACCTATGTCATCCAGGGAGGTTACATGCTGGGGAGCTCCAGTCAGTCTTACAGTCACACCATGCGTGCCTCTCCAGCCACAGTGAGTCACTGGTCAACTCTTCCAAGTGCTGACTCCCCTGGGGTTTCTGTTTTGTGTTGTTCAATAAGGGTGGTCCAGTAGCACAAATGTTAGAACACCTGCCTCCCAACCAGATGGTTAAAGGTCTGGGTCACAGGATTGCCTGTCGCTCTAAATTGCATGCCACTTTTGAGACCAAATTTAATCAGTTTTTGTTAGATGTGATATTTCTAATTTGGGATGCTCTTTTGAAAAAGCTGTGCTGATGGACTTGCATAATTGCAAGTGTATTTTCTGTTGTTATCTCATGGAACAGTATTGACAACTGTGGTATAGAAATCTGCGCACCAGACCATCCTAGTCTCCAGGCTGAAGGATGCTATCTGTGGGCGAGCAGCATCTTGGATAAAATTGGGAATAAATACGAAGTAAATGAACATAGAAATATTTTTCTTAAGAGTTTTCTTATTCATGTTTGGTGTGCATTTAATGTGTAGAATAAATAAATGGTTGGAGTTTTGTGTGGCTATATCACAACTGAGAGTTCTCATGATATTGTGAACAGCAAAAGTTGACCTCTCATGCTTTGTGTAGTCATTTGAACCCTCACTGTTATAGCCACTAAGATACTCTTGTACGAGGTAGATATGACAGCATGATAATTAATTGAATAATGGTTTTCTGCCTATTTTCTATATTAAGTGTTCAAATGAGTAATGTGATAAAATATACATGAAATATGGTAAACTTTCTCAGGAAGATGTGAATTTCAGTGCATTACAAGACTGCACTTTCTTCTGTACATTATGCAAGTATTTGTTCACAGGCACAGTGGAGAAGCTAGTAGTTTATAATTGTCATTATATAATAACATTAACACTACTTCATATAAGACCTGTTTATTAAATTTGACACCTTGTAGAAACAATACCAAATCTTGCTAAAGGTAATATTCTAACAAATAATAAATGGGACATTTCAGATCATGGAAACTCAAAACACAGTATAGAAGGCATTAATATCTTTGTGTGTGAACCTAAATGTGATTCAAAATTAACTGGATTGTTTTATATGCCCACTGCACTGTTTTAACTCTTAGATGATTGGGAAGCTTTAACACAATTATAATGCATTTTACTTACTCTCATTAAATGCGAAGGTGTCACCTCTGTGCCTGTGAAGTTTATATTAGAGATAGACATGCACACGTTAAAGATGTGTCGTTTCTACCAACAGACGGAGCAGTCAGAGAGAGGTAGATAGAAGAAAGGCAATGAGTGGAAAAATTTACGGAAAGAGGGTGGGAGGAAGATTAAGAGATGTAAAGAGTCAGAAAAATAGGAAATGCAGAGGAAATGATTGCAAATCAAACATAAGGAGATAGAATTATGGAACGTGGACAATGGGGTCAGATTTTCAATTTTCCCTTCTTGGATATATGAAAGGTGCTGCAAATCAACCTCTTAATGCCAGAACAACCTAATTTCTTTTCCACTGAGAACAACTAAAATGGAGCAATTTCTATTGCAGCAGCAGACCATCAACATCGTTTTTGTGCATCGGTAGCAAATTGAAAATCTACCTCAGCTTAATTTATTTTTTCCATGAGCAATGCATCAATAAGGCAATTAGTTATTTAAATTACTTGTGAAATGCTACACTCTGTAAATTAATTTTAAAGAAATATTCTTGAGATGAATAACTGTCTTTTATTTTGCTCCTTTGGTTTTTGTTAGATTATAAAGTCTCTTTATTGTTGATATAGCTATTTTTCCAGTGGCACTAAGCAAGTCTGAAAAACTGGAAATTATTTTAAGTTCACGTAAAATAATGTTTCAAAGAAAATGCCAAATAAAAGTGATGTAAAACAAGAATTCTTCTTGTTCTTGCACAGGTTCAGTGGTTATTAGATAACTATGAAACTGCAGAAGGAGTGAGTTTGCCTCGAAGCACTCTATACTGTCACTACCTGCTACACTGCCAGGAGCAGAAACTGGAGCCTGTAAATGCTGCCTCATTTGGCAAACTGATACGATCAGTGTTCATGGGACTCCGAACCCGGAGACTTGGCACACGGTTAGTTTTCTCTACCATTTCACAGGAGGGCTAGATATAATTCAGATTCTTTGATTAAAGGGCATTTCAGAAGTATTTCATTAAAGCTGAAAAATGCATGAGCTAATATCAGAAATATTCCAGTGCTGAAATGTAAATTATCTTCAGCACTATTTCAGTTCCAAGTTCAACTTTTTAACAAATTGTCTTTTGCAACTTCTAGAACATACATATTTCCATGAGGTTACATTTGTAATAATGTTATATGCAAATTTGTGATGCATTTCTAATTTCATAACATTTGTGGAACAACATGCTACTGATGCTGGAAATCTGAAATAAAAATGCAAATATTGGAAATCCTCAGTCGGTCAGGCTGCTGGTATCTGTGGAGAGAGAAAGTAAGTTAATATTTTAGGTCAATGATCTTTCATCACAACCCAAAAAACGATGAGATTTGACAGATTCTGATTTCCAGCATCTGCAGTTTTTTTGGAGTTAATGAAGTTTAACAGGTTTAAATTAAGTACAGATGCAGAGAGGGGGTGACATAAGTGGGAAAGAACAAAAAAAAAGCTCTCTGATAGGGCGAAAGGCTGGAGAGATTAAATGACCAAAGAAATGATAGGGCGGGGTGAAAAGAAATGGTCACAAAACAAGCAAAGAAACAAAAGACGTGTCTAGAAGACAATCTAGAATAAGAATAGTCATGATTATGAATCACCAAAAGTAGCTGCCGTCTGGAAATATGGGCGTAGAAATTATGATCAAGTTGTTGAACTCAGCACTGAGTCTTGATGGCTGTCTAATCAAAAGATGAAGTGGTGTTTTTTTTGAGTTTACATTGAGTTTCATTGGCACAGAATAGGAGGCAACAGGCAAAAAGGTGGGAGTAGGGTGGAGAATTGAATGATGGGTGACCAAAAGCTCAGTGTCACATTGATTAGTGTGACACCTGATGCTGGCAGTTCTCTGGTACAGCTATTCGGCTTCTCAAATTGACTGTTTTATTTGTGTGTTTAACTGCCAGATTATTGCAGCAATGTTGATATTTTGTGTAAAATTTCAGCTGTTGAGAGAGCAAAACATTGAAATGGTCGATTGAACTGTCACAAATTGCCAGTCTATTCCCTAATAACTTGTATACTTTTTTAATTGACTCATTTTATTCTGAGAATGATAGAACAATTGATAATAGAGCTGAAACAACTTGGGGGTTAGGAGGTTTTAATGTTCTTTAATCTTCCCTTTCAAAAATTTAATTTTGGATATGATGTGGTAGCACCACATTGTGGCCAGAGTAGGTATTGTACCTAAAGATTGGAACATCCAAAAAGGCAGTCAAAAACAATGGAAAAGATATTCTGCAGAAACCATAAAAGGATAAAAATACTTCATAACCAGTATCTTATTTTCTGTCAAGTTTTAACAAAAGTATGGTATTAAACAGGATTGTGGCATTAAGCAAGATTTAAGCAAAAAATGAATGGAGAAAGAACTATTTTCTTGTAAGTGCAAATTTTAAAGAAAGACTATACAGTGTTAAAAATAATAATCTGATACAAGGAGAAGTAAATTAGGAAAATGGACTGCACAACTGAAAATAGAAGTAAAATAAAATTGTGATTGGCTTGTAGCCATTTTTAACTTTATTTCTTGTTTTAGTTGGAATTGCCAGATTGGTTCTGGACTGATTTCTGGGGGGTGTGCTGAGTCTACCTCAGAGCAGTAGTGTTGTGGCACTTTTTATGCTGACTTTAAGTAAATCCTCCATGTTTCAACACAAATGTTGGCCACTGGGATTAGCCACTTTTACTTGGAGTGTTTCAAGTTAGCATCGACAGGAAGGGCTTGTTTATTACTTTAGGATTTTTTATATTAAATCATGAGATACTGGCATCAGTACAAGACCAGTGTTTCTTACACATACTTTCAAAATGCAACTAAGTAACATTTTAGGCAATTTCAGATGGCAATTAAATCAACTTCATTGCTTTGAATCTGGAATCATATATAGGCCAAATTAGATATTGACACCAGGTTTCCTTCCCTGAAGGGCATGAGGGAACTGACATTTTTTCTTGCAACTCTGATAGTTTCCGGGTAACAATTACTGATATGAGTATTTTTTTCCGGGTTTATTTCATTAATTACATCTGAATTCTCCAGCTGTCATGGTAAAATTTGAACTAATGTCTCTAGGTCATTAATCCGAGTCTCTGGAACTTAGTCTGGTAACATAACCATTATACTAATAAAGTCTGAATGCAAATGTATGTACTATGAATGCATTTTCTGGTTACCTCAATTACTGTTCAGAAACTATTTTCCTTTATCAATAGGGGAAATTCAAAGTATCACTATTATGGGCTTCGCATTAAAGCAAACTCGCCATTAATTCGACTGATAGAAGATCAACAACACCTGGCCATAAGGCAACAGCCGTTCACACAGAAACAGAGGTAAGTGAATGAGAGAAGGTTCCCATTTATGCTGATGCTGATGATTTGCATCAATTCTGAATCAAGTTGGGCATCAATAAACTTTTAAAACAGGGTTTCATATCCAAAATTAGGAATGTGTCTCATTTAATGGTGGTGTCCATTGGAGCTTTATAAAAATTGATATTTAATATCTGTTGAAATAATTTTCATAAAACTCTGATATTGATTAATTAGACTTTGCAGCATCCCTTATTCCTGAGTTAATTAATTAATTCATTAGCTTCCACTATCTTGTACATGCTTCAGGTGGTTGCTTATAATTTGAGTACAAGCCTGTTGAGCAAGTTTGGTAGTTACTTGCTTAAGAACCAATTGCCTAACCACAGTTTTCCTTCTCAAGGAGTCTTAGTCCATGAGATAGTAGGAACTGCAGATGCTGGAGAATCTGAGATAACAAGGTTTACAGCTGGATTAACACAGTAGGCTAAGCAACATCAGAGGAGCAGGAAGGCTGACGTTTCGGACCTAGACCCTTCTTCAGAAATTTTCGCAGTGGGTTTAAAATTGTTTCAGAGATAGTGGGAACTGCAGATGCTGGAGAATCTGAGATAACAAGGTGTAGAGCTGGATGAACACAGCAGGCCAAGAAATTTCTGAAGAAAGGTCTAGGCCCGAAACGTCAGCCTTCCTGCTCCTCTCATGCTGCTTGGCCTGCTGTGTTCATCCAGCTCTACACATTGTTATCTCAGTTTTAGTCCATGATTGTCCCAGTCTAATTAATATGTATTTCCTACTCAGCAGGCTATTTGATGAATCCTACATAGGAGCAGGAGTTAGCCATTCAGCACCTTGAATCTGTTCAAATAGATAACTTGTACTCTATCTCACTCCATTTACATATCCTTCTTTGACACGTCTTGATGCACTTAACGAATAAACAAATATGTCAATCAGGTTTGTAAATTACAGTGTGCATAGCATCCAAATCCACTTTAGGGAGTAGAGTTCAGATTTCTGTTATCTATTAGTATGAAGAGTTCTTTCTGATTTCTGCCTATCCTGCCTCCCAAATGGCATAGCTCTGTGATTAAAATTGTGCAGTCATTTTATAGATTCCCTATCCAGAGACATAGTTTATCTATCCTGAACAATCCATTTATCAACTGGGTTACTTCTCAACCTTCTAAACTCAAAAAAATGCAAGCTATGTTAATACAACCTTTCCTCGTATTGCATTCTGTGATTTCATAGATTCTTCCCTATGAATCCGCTGAATCTTTCTAATGCCACTTTGAATGCTAGTGTTCATTTGCTGTGGTTTGGTGTCCAAATAATAGTTCGAGATGGCGTCTATCTGAGGCTGTGTATAACATGAATTACAGTCTCCTTGTGATGAAGGCTCACACTCCATTAACCTTCTTTTGCTGCACCTGTGTACGGCCTTTCGTGATTTTGGAGGCCTGAATCCTTCTACTCCTTTGCAGCTGGTAGTTTCTCAACATTAAGAAAATATTCTGATTTGGCTTTCTAAGATCCAAAGTTGATAGTCCACATAACTTCCGGAATTATTCTATTTTGTTTTCTTTATTCATTCTGGAGACGAGGGCGTCACTTCCTCTGCAGCATTTATTGCCCATCCCTAAGTGCCCAGAGGGCAGTTAAGAGTCAGCCATACTGCTCTTGGTCTGGAGTCAAATATAGACCAGACCAGGTAAGGATGGCAGTTTCCTTCCCTAAAGGACATTAGTGAACCGGATAGGTTTTTCCAACAATTGACAATGGATTCATGGTCAGCATTAGACTCTTTTAATTCCAGATTTTTTTTTTTGTTTATTGAATTCAAATTCCACCATCTGCTGTGGTGGGATTCAAACCCGGGTCAACAGAACATTAACTGGGTCTCTGGATTAACAGTCCAGCAACAATACTACGAGGCCTTTGCCTCCCCCTAATCTATTATAGTTTCACTCACTCACTACATCCATGTCCCTTTGCAATTTCCTGCTCCCCTCCATTCAAGTTACTATGCCTCCTAACTTTGACATACAACTCTTTATTCTCTTAGCCAAGTCATTTGTATATGAAACCTCTGTACACATCATTGAGGAGTGCTGCTGGGAATACTCTGCCAGTCCTGAATGAGGAATTCCAATTTATTGATCAATTGCCATGGTAGTTGCATGTTGGGCATGTGGTGCCATGAAGTTAGTGTCCAGTGTTGTTATAATCAATGTAGTGAACCTGTTAATATAATCTAAGAGTTATATTGTCATAAAGTAGATGGCATAGTGAGTGGTACTCTGCGGTTGTGTTTGTTAATTGTCTTCCAAATCACTGTTGCATCAATGTCATGGTTTGGGAGACTACTTCTAATGGAATGTCCCTTTCAAAGCATTAATTACCCCCACGTAGTGATTCTGGAATCAAATGGCGACAATGAAAAGTAGGTTTTATTCTATATCTTTTTGTTTTGGAAAACGCTACTTTGACCATTAAGGAATGGACTGTATTTCAGTCCGTTTTCTCCTTCATGCTACAGACTGAAGCCAATCCAGAAGGTGGAGGGGATGACAAATGGTATGGGAGTTGGGCAGCAACAGGGTGGTGGCCTGTCAGATATCAGCGCGCAGGTCCAGCAGTATCAGCAATTCTTGGGTAAGTTATCACTGACCTGATAAATTTGAAAGTAGCAAATGCAGATAATATATTTTGCATTACCTCAATTTGTAATCATAGATAGTGTAGTATCAATATTGACTATTTCTTCTCTCCTCATCTCGTTGAATAAAATGGTAAAGTGCATAAAACAAAAAAAACTTTAAATGATTTTAGCTTTTCTGAATATTTGTGTGACTGTTAAAACATAACCTTTTATTTCTTAATTAAACATACATCTTAACCTTATAGAAACTTATGACCTGGCATGAATAAATGACTGGAAAATCTCAGCGGAGTACTAGTTACAACCATGCTGAACTTTTGTAAAATGGATAAATTATTGAAAATTTTTTTTCATGCCTATGAATAGATCTCATTTGTATTCCTGTTCCGAGCATATTTTGAGGTGAAAAATCTAGATGAGGCTGCAATACTGAAAATAGGTTTGCAGGTTAATAGTCTGGAGAAGGCACAAATTGCTGAATTTTATGTTGAAATGTCATGGATAAAAGATTGAACAATTACTGACTAAGATGCTTTGATTATTCTTGATTCTAAATTAAATCTTATGTTATCCTAACAATGTTACCCTTTCTGGTTATCAAAGTATCAACTAAACAGAATTAAATGTATGTCATACTATTAATAAACACGAAATATACATCACCTTTTCAGTAAAAGACTTCCTATCAGCATTGTGTTGGTTGCCATCTCCATGCCCGGCACCAAGGCTTTTCTGTAGTGGACCAAAAAAAAGCTGATTAACAGTTAGTGCCAGTTTTCCTGATTTCCTTCCAATTGGTTATTTAATCTGATGGTCTGAGAACAGCTGCTAAATTTTGTTAATTTTATGTCAATGGATTTTATTGTTGGGTAACTTTAGATCTCAAATGTGAGACCACAGACTGAAACAAGCATTCTCAGCTGACACTAGTGACACAAACAACTTTTGATCAGGCCTACAGTAGATTCATTTTTCAGTGTTTGATAACATTTTTGCAAGAATACTAACTTGTGATTGCATTTTTCAATGCACATTATATTACAGATGCTTCTCGGGCTCTACCAGAATTTGTTGAAATAGACTTGCAGGGAAAAACATTGCCAGATGGTATCACTATGGAACACATCAAGGCTTTCCAACTACTCTATCGGGAACACTGTGAGGTATTATGACAGAGCCAATTAAAATCATATATTTAAAAGCCAAGCATAACAGTTAGAACTTTAAGTTATGAACATGATGTTTTTGACAGGAGTACATCGTTGGTATCTCTAACATGCCCTTCTGTACTTCGATGAGGCATGGTATTTACACATCAAAGTGTAGATTGGCTTGATGTACCTTGACCACAAGAATCCCAATCTAGCCAGTTATCTGCTCTCCATGATCAGCAAAGTGATGCAAGGTATCATTGACAGTGCTGTTATACTAACAACTTCCTCACACAAACATTATAATCTGTATTCAAAATGGACAAAAGAATTCCAGAGGCAAGGTGAGATTAACTATCCTCGACACGAAGGCATCATTTGATTGAGTGTATTACCAAGGAGCCCCAGTAAAATTGAATTCAGTGGTGATCAGGCAGACAAATTCACTAGCTGGAACCATGTCTAACACAAATGAAAATGGTCAGTTCTTTTGGAACTCCTCAGGGCAGTGCCCTACAGTTTTAATTTCCTTCATTGAGGGTTATCCTACCATCACAAGATAAGTGGACATGTTTGTGTGCTCCTGTAACCATCAGTTCCAATTGCTATTGCTCAGATAATGAATTCATTTGTGTAGCACGCAGCAAGCCATGGACAATATTGGGACTTGGGCTGATATATAGCACAAATATTACTAGCCACTTAAGTGTCTCCGACATGAAAGAGTCTGAATGTGTCCCTGTAACATTCAATGCTATTAATCAATCCTCCATTTCCCTAACAATCAATGTAATTGGGGGTCTGTATTTGACCAGAAGAAATTTGACTGAATCAGCTGCATAAATATTCTGGCTGCAAGTCCTGGTCAGAGGCTGGATATTCCATGTTGTGGCTTATCTCCTGGCTCCCCACCAAGTTCCCACTTCCTCTAAAATGCAAATCAGGTATGTGATGCAATATTTTCCACTTGAGATGAATGCAATTTCACCAACATTGTGGATTCTCAATTTTGTCCAGGAAAGTACCGTCTGTGTGCTTAGTACTAGTCCACCATATTAAGCATTCACTGCAGTCAGTACCAGCACAACACAGGAGCAGTGTGCAGTGTCCACAAGATGCACTCTGGCAAGTCAAACAAACCTCATTTCGCAGCATCTTCTATATAGCAGAGTTGGCCAGTAACTTTTACGTTTGAAAAAATGCAAAATGTTCACATTTTAGAGGGGCGATGGAACCTGGGATAGAGTAAGCAAGATCCAAATGAGTTCCTTAAGTGTCTTAATTGGCCTGATCCTACTTGCCCAGCCCATGATCTCCTCCCCTCATGCATATCACTGGTGCTAGGAACACAGGCAAGCCAATCAATTGGATAAAGTCACCACAATTAATTCTTGCAGTGATGGATATATTATGTGGTGCTTTGTCAAGGACTTTTTAATAATCTAAATACGTTAGGTTGAATCTTACTCTTTTTTTGGCTGTGTCAGTTTTGTCGAGTTTTTTTGGAAGGTATTTTGCTGCAAGTCCTTGTGAGATCTCTTGTCGTATCTTACCAAACTCAACTCATTAGCTACTTAACCCAGCCCTACAGTGCTCCTCTCACTCAATTCTAGCCCCATCTTACCACACCTCATTTCCAGAAGAACTCACCACTCACTGGATATCTGCTAAAAGACTGGCATCCCTCCCACTCACGCCATATTTAAAAGACTGCTGTGCACCCACTCAAGCACTGTAACTTACTCAGTGACAGACATTCAAAAGATGTTGGAGAAGGGGTGCCTGGTGCCCGATTCTCTGACAGGGACCTGAAGGTACTGGTGGATGGAGTGGTGCAAAGGAGGGGTTTTCTCTTCCTGGAGGACCAGC